GAACAAAACAGTAGCTTGAAGAAGGAGGTGGCAATCGCTGAGCGGAAACTGATTGCAAGAAATGAGCGTATTGCCAGCCTGGAAGCCCTGCTCCAGGAGAGCCAAGAGAAGCTTACCCAAGCCAACCACCGGTATGCGTTGACTTATTCTCCTGGTTTCGCTTGATGATACTCGATACTAACTACGCTGATAGATTCGAAGCTCAACTCACCGCTGTTAAGGAACGTCTGGAAGCAGCGAAGCAAGGTTCCACCCGCGGCTTACCGAGCATGGATGGGAATGCGAGTTTTAGCTTCGGTGGATCGCGCATCGCGAAGCCACTCCGCGGGGGTGGTGACGGGCCGGCGAACTCGAACGTTGCGGGCGTACAATCGCAAGAAGCGCCCGGGAAGCGCAGCAGCTGGTTTTTTGATCGCCGATGATCCTAACCCACTGTCAGAAGGCTGCTCGTCCCTTGCGCAACTGCTTCTGAGGCTTGATAGCTGTCTGCCGTGCACCCCGGACCTCGTACAATTCGTGCTTGTTTCACTAGCATGTGGTTGATCTGGGCTGATATTGATCTATATTGATTCCTCTTTACGCTGTCTCACGAGTTTCTTCTTTTTTTTGATCATCTGGTCGGCAGGCTTTTCTTCTTGTTTCTGATATGATTTTGATACATATTTCCTTTCCCATGTTTCCTTGCCTTGCTCATTCCAGTATATTAGATCGCGCCCTGCATGCCGGGGACTGGCTCTTGCGTCTTCCCGATACCCTTGTACATCAATTCCAGATAGAATGGAGAAGAGCTGGTAGTTAGTCTGCTGGGCCGACTTGAGTGATTTTGATGTGACATACTATACTCCGTATACGAGGCGACAATGGACTGGTTCGATCCTTATCAAAGCTAGCGCACCATTCTCACTCTGCCTAATTATCGTAGCGTCAAAGTCCGATCAAAGTCAAAGCCAAGTTGATAGACACTGTACTGTATACATACACTTCACTACCAAGGTTGTACTTGTCTCAAATATACAAAAGACATGAGGGGGTAATCAAAAATATGACAAGAGGAGAAAAAAGAAAGTAAAGAAACAGAGAAAACAGATAAGACAGAGAATATGCAATGCAACCCCCTCGCCCGTCCAAAAGAGAATGCCTCACTTTGCGCCAGTATTCGCCCAAGCAATCTAAACCAATCCGTCGTAAAGCGACAAGGCACTGACGATGGTTTCATCCCGTTTGCTGCCTTCTTTGAACTCGTCGATGTCAAGACTGCCATTTTCATCCTTGTCCATCATGCGGAAGATCTTTCGTACGCGTTTCTCTGGGGTATCTTCATCCTCGGGGAGTTTCACCATGGATCCAACCTGTATGCTCGTTAGTTCCTAAGAGTATCGTGATTTCACGAACTGCATTGTGCATACCATCTTATAGATCGCCTCGACAATGGCCAGCATTTCTTCATAGGTGATTTTCCCATCGCCGTCAATATCGTACAATTGGAATGCCCAATCCAGTTTATCCTCCATCTTGCCTCGCGAAGTCACGGAAAGGGCGCAGATAAATTCTTTGAAATCGATCATACCACTGTTGTCCGAGTCGAAAACGCGAAAGACATAATTGGCAAAGGATGACGGGTCGCCGAAGGGGAAGAACTGCCGGTATATTTTCTGAAACTCCTCCTTGGTCAGAGTACCAGACGGGCAGTCCTTGAGAAATCCTAGACATGCCCATAATCAGCGATCGCTCTTGAGACTTGATGTTTCGTATGTTTCCCATATATCCGCATACCTTTATACCATTGTTGTAGCTCCTTCTTATCGAAATGTGTTGCCCTTTGCAGCTCATCGAGCTGCGTCGGTGAAAGCTTAGATTGACTGTAGAATGTGAAACACGAGGGTCAGCGCGGGGTTCTCCTTTGACTGTAGGCAGGATATTCAACGTGATTCTCAGACCAAAAGTACGGGACTGGCTTGCTCCCGAGATGACGCGCATCCTGAGATCCGCCAAGTCCGTTCCACCGCCATTTCAAACAGGGTGAGAGGATGGTTAGAACTTACGACTTTCCCATGATCAAAAAATAGCTCTCTAAAACAGTATCAAGAGCAAGTTCAAAACAAATCTGGGAGTGATGGCTTGCAATGAGCTCGGAGTGGTGACGCGGGGTAGAAACAGGTGGGATGTGTGGCTGGGTTGTGGCTGAGTATGTCTACGCAAGGGGGGGCCCCGGCAACGTAAGAGGAAAGATATAATAAGGGAGTTAATACAAGAAATGCAGTTTCTAAAAGATAGAGAAGAGGTTGAAGGAGGCGAGAAAGAACGGAGGTCCAGAACATCCCGAGGCTGGGCTTGGCAGACAATCTCATTACCGCGTATATACATTTCTCCATATCAAAACAACTATCTATCTGCCATGAGACCTCTCCAAGCAATGAGGGCGATTCCTTTTTTTGAAAGAAAAGAAGGGAACAAAAACAGACACAAGAACAGGGTATGTCTTCTCTCGTGACCAAAATGCAAGGCTAAATGTTACACCAATAGCAAAACCTTTAGTCCACCTTGATCGAGCCATAGATGCGGTGGATGAATGCCCAACTGGCGAAGAAACCAATGGAGCCTGGAGAGAAGTCAGCAAAAGAAGCCCATCCGCAAGACATGGGAACAAAAACATACCAGTCAGAATAAACACAATGAAGGCGATCAGCGCCGAATAGCCCACATAAAGCACCGCCCCCGTTAATCCACCAAAGCTGACCCGTGTCGCCCAGAAAATGAGCGCATTCAAAAAGACATATCCTCCGGTCATACCCGCGCCTATGAAGGCGCGCCAGTGCCACCGGTAGTTCTCTGCACACAGCAAGAAATACACCAGCAACACGGTAGTAGCCGCAGAGGTAATGATCATCAAGCCATAGCAGAGGAACAGGAATCCGAACATGTAGTAGATCTTGTTGGTCCAGAGGGAGGTCATTATAAAGTACAACTCGACGAAAATCGCACCAAAGGGAAGAATTCCGGTCAGCAGAATCGACGGAATTGTTCGCAGGCTACCAGCCATCGGAGGAACCTGTCGGGGAATTTGGTTCGTCTTGGTAGGACCCTCAAGCGGCTATTGCGAAATGAAGTTAGTCATTGGAATGTCTGAATAACGGGGTTGGAATTTGATAGTACCGATTGCTTAAAGCCCAACCAGCTGCCTGCCACACTCAATGGCACGCTGATAACAAACCAAATCAATACCAGTGCCAACATAGTTCCAAATGGTACGGCACCGCTGGATCCCTTGGCCCAAACAAAGAGATTCAGGATGAAGAAAGTACCGAATATAATGCCAGGTATAAATAGAGGTGTCATGATAATGTTGCGCCTCCAAGAATCGCCACCGAATGTCTTGTACACTCGCGCCGACACATAACCACCGATCCCACCGAAAAGGGCGGAAATCAGGAGAATGGCAGTAGCCAGGAATCCACGGTTGGAAGGAGAGAGGAGACCAAGCAGGGCAAATGCTACAAATAAAAAATCAGTACAAAGAGAAGAAAAGCGGGAGTCAGACTACCCACCGACAGTCACACCAGTCATCATAAATAGCTGGGCGCCGTTGCCAACCATCACACTCAGCAGCAACGGGGATTCGGGGCACCGGAAGACATCGCCATGGACCAACTTCCAGCCAGAATCCTCCTGGACTCCATCTTCGATCGCAGCCGAAGTGCTATCCAAATCCTCCAGGTTGAACGAATCCAGCCTGTTATAACGAGCAATATCCTTCTTGAGTGCGCGGACTAGAATCATGCTGACCATACCCACGAGGAAAACCACAAAGACAGCCGAGTTGATGAGAGAGAACCAGTGGATTTTAGGGTCATAGACATGAAGATACTTATCCCACCGGGTAGCCCAGGCTGTGGGGGACTCCTTCCAGTACACACTATACGTCCAGGTGACTGTGGTCTCGCCGTCCTCGTTGAGCGCGAGAACATTGCCCGGGGTACCACATTCAGCGGCCCCGCCTTCTAAATTCCGGGAGTCCTTGCGAGACTCAGGCTGGACAAGCACTCCAACCACGCGATATTTATCCTTGCCGCCAAAGCCCACCTTATGGTAATCAATCACAATGTCATAGTGATTGTTGAGCAGAGCCTGCCCATTGTCATCTAGCTCACCCAGAGAGAAGCCAGGGTTGTAGAATTTGGTCTTGGTAACGCCGTCATAGTTCAACTGCGCGGCTGGCAGCCCATCCACAATCCAGTTAATGTTGTAGCCCTGAGCTATTCGTCGATTGGTCCACTTTGCGCTGCGGGCGTCGAATTTGGCCTCTGCACATATCGATTTGCAGGTCTCATTCTTCGCCATGTGAAGCTCGAATGGCGAGGTGCGAATGCGGTCACCGAATAGAATGCTCCCCAGGGATTCCCTCACATCTTTAGGACCATCTGCGGGTCGGCAGAATCCAAAAGCCGGATGATAGTAGTCATATGAGAAGACCGAATGAAGCTGGTCATCGCGAGAGAGGCTGGGGGTGAGGTGGTTGACATAAAGCGGAACTGCTTGTCCTTCGTCGTAGGAGGTCGGTGCAACACCCGGCAGATAAAAGGCCGTAGTCAAAGAAGGGATTGCTAGTAGGGTCGACGAGAGAAGAAAGGCTCGATCGGCGAACCGCATGTTGGGCGTTTCTATAGACTTTTGGAAGCCTAGAAACCAACCTCAATGGCTTGTTTCGGAGAGGAAAGGAGTAGAGCTAGTGTGTCAATGGGTGATTGTGAAAGAAAAAATAGTTGTTTACAACAAGCAGCTACCCTAGAAAGAGAAAATCACGTTCTCATCCGTGAGAAACTCGCGATACTCGAAGGGAGATAAAATGCGAACTGCGAGTGACAGACTGGCAATGACGATCGATCATCGAAGAATGCCTTGGTGCCTTGTCTTTATCACACGTGACCGGCGTTATCGTCGAAGCGGCCAAATTTTTTTTGTTTCGCGAATTATTGTTCTCTATAAGCCATCAACTTTCAATCATGGCTCCAACACAGGCGTCTGCGCGCCCTCAAAGTCTACCGACATTGCTCGAGATTCTGAATAATTGTCTGTCGACAACTGCCTCCTCTCTACCCAAGCCACACAAGGATGCGCCCTCCGATGTCACGATCGAGCCTCCCAAAGACGGCATTTCTCTCCTCGACACCAAGAGCGAAATCCTTCTTTCCTACTTGCAAAATCTCGTATTTCTAATTATCTTCCAACTGCGAAATGTGTCAGCGAAACAAACCCCCCAAAAGAGAAGAGCCAATATACAGACAACTCCCTCGAAGATGACATTCGCAAGAAATTGATTGAGCTTCGGGTATTCCTCGAGCGTGGTGTCCGTCCTTTGGAAGGACGATTGAAGTACCAGATAGACAAGGTCATCAAAGCTGCAGAGGATGCGGAGCGGACAGAGAAGGCTCAGCCGACCAAGACGAAGAAAAGCCGCAAAGCTACGACATCAGGCAGCGAAGCATCATCGGATGAAGACGAAGATGTAAGCGGTAGCGAGAATGAGGAGGACATCGATGAAATGGCGTACCGACCCAATGTCTCTGCCTTCTCCAAGGGAGTGGCCGAGCAGAAGAAGGCCCGTCCCTCTAAGGGTGCTGTCGAGGGACCCGGAGACGGCATTTATCGCCCCCCGAGGATCATGCCAACTTCCTTGCCTACGACAGAGCGTCGCGAACGCCAGGACCGCAGACCCATTAGATCCAACGTCATCGACGAATTTGTCAGCGCTGAAATGTCGTCTGCACCCATGGCTGAGCCCAGTATCGGCAGCACAATCATTGATGGTGGCCGAACGGTCAAGTCAAAGAAGGACCGAGAGCGCGAGGCAGAGCGTACCACCTACGAAGAGACCAACTTTGTCCGATTGCCGAAGGAGACAAAGAAGGAATTGGCGAAACGGGGTCGCGGAAAGGATACCACGTACGGTGGTGATGAATGGAAGGGGCTTAATGAAGGCGCGGATAACATCGAACGTCTTACCCGGAGATCCAAAAGCAACGGAGCCGCACTCGAGAAGAGTCGGAAGCGAGTCCGCAACGAGGACGGGCAACGCGGTGATGGTGTCGGCATGGGCCAGATTTTCGACAAGCGACGAAAGAAGGTTGACAGCTGGAAGCGGTAAAAAATGATTGCAGGGGGCAATTCCCATGTGCAAAGGCGTTTCTTTCTGGAATTCAATCACTTTGGAGTTTTCTTGATTACCCAAGGTCCATCTTGACCAATGCATATCTGTATCTACTTCTACGACATACATTGAATGGTATGATCTCACCGGATCAACTCGGTCTACTGTCCACAGCTGTCCACGGGTGGAGGTTTATATTCTACGTCTCACCGCCGGAATATAATGACTCGGCATGCCGATAGAAAACCGGCATCTGGTGTACCCTTCTAGGGCTGGCAGAAATACAAATTTTGATAGTTATGAGCTCTATGAATTATGTCACATCGATCGAAAGAAGAGGTCACCTAATTAAAAGCAACTTATTTAATGGTGTAGCTTCCAACCGGTGTGACTCCGACGAGATTCACGTGTTAAACCCCGACCTGGATAGTCGAACATGACGTCACCGTATCACCCGAAGCTAGTTAACTACCTCTTTATATCTTCTCTTTCTTTCTTTTCCAACAACGCCTTTGAACGTTTTGAACAAAATGGAGAACCCAGGTGCGTTATCGATATGATATTTTGGATTCATCAGCTAATTCCTTCAGTGGCCGATATACCTTCCGTTATCCGGGGTCTAACACAGTCGCCGCCATTTTTGCAAGAAACCGTCCTTCACCGGTATTTTACCAACAATGTATCCTTTACTCATCCATTCTGCCGAGTGCCCAGCTTTGAGGGCAGCAGATGGTGGGTTGCAAAGATATTCCAATGGTATAAGATCATGTCACCCCGGATCGAACTAGAGATTCATTCTATTGGTATGTCAACATGAGACTTCCAAGGTTGTGGACTTCATAATTTTAACTGCAGACTCTGATAATTCTCTAGCTTTCGATGAAGATAAACTCAAACTCTATGTGAATATGTCACAGATCTTCTCCATTTGGCTTGTTCCCTTCCATGTCGCTCCGGTGACTCTCACTACGGTCTTGGACCTGACGTACGATTCGGTCAAAAGCGATGCTACGACCAATGGCGACCACAAGCTTTACTACATTTCCAAGCAAGAAGATCTATATCAAACATCGGAGTTTGTCAAGTTTATCATGCCGCATATCGGGTATTGGATTATTTTTGGTTGGCATCTCATTGCAAGCCTTTTCTGTCTCCTGGGTGTGACTTTGCTATGGCCTATACTCTGGCTAGAGGAGAAGCGTTATATCCCCGATCACTTTTTGCGAGGGGGGAATTTGGCTTACAATATGGAGAAGAAGATTCCAGAAATTAAAGGGCAATGATGGAGTTGATTTTCTATCTTCAGGTGGATATTGTTGAACGTGAGCGCTATGTCTGTCCTTGCGTTTCTTCGCCTATTTTACCGTATACCCCTATCTAGTAAAAGTTGCACGCCCAATCCTGACGTTCAGAGGAATATATAAGGAAAGATCGACAAGCTGTCGGACAAAGCGCGGGAACACCCAACAAACTTCTGGCTAAGCTAGCCGAAGAAGGAGAGGACACGGCCCAGGCGTACTTTGCGGTCTTAGTGCTTTTATTTTACATACAATACATGTGTCTTATGCAATTGTCTTCCAAGCCGAACCAACCAGCCAAAATTCCATTCAAACCGTGACCTTCCTAGCTTTCAATGCACATGCATCCTCATCATGACATTGAGCGAATATCATAGCAACCCAATTCAATCAGCTTTCTTTGATTCGGGCTGTTTCTTCAGCTCCCTACGGAACGAGTTCTCTTGCTCCACAAACCTCATAGGCAAGCCACGGCCAATACCAAAGAACACGAACAACGCCCACTTCCAACGGAACGGGTTAACGACAAGGACGAAGAAGTACCAGTAGATCAGTTCAGCATAGGTAAAGAAGTCAAATGCTCCCGTGGGCGCCAGACGCTTCATGAACCTTGTGAAGTCAATCCAGGTCTTCATCCACATTTCAGTGGGTCTGGTCAATGGGTCGGTCAGGAACATGAGCAGGAATCGCGTGTAGATTCCAATATGCATATTGCCCACTGTACCAATCGCATCGACGTAGGTGCTGTTGTTTGCGCAAATATCCGGGTACTTGGGTGGGAAAACTTGAAGATACCAATTAGGCGGTCCGTAGGGTTCATCGAAACACTCATTGGGCAAAAAGGTCAATGAAGGCCGTTTGAAACCAGTTGCCATGACGATGATATCTCCCTCGACCAGTTGTTCATGGCCAGGTCCTCCCTTTGGGACGCCTTTAGATCGATAATTGAACACCACACCGTTCTCTTCCACAGAAACGATGTCACCTCGTAACCAGTGGGCTTTGCCCTCGCGGATCTGGTTGAACAACTCGTTGTTGGCCATCGGAGTTCCGGTAAATATTCCCTTGTCTGTCGGCGCAATGTCTTGAAGATCACGATAGAAAAACTTGCGCAGCAACCATTCAGGAATCCACGAAAGTGATGTTTCCTGACCGAAGATGTTGCATGCAAGGAGAGACTGCACCAGTATGTTGCGAGGAATAATCCATTTATCGGACCGAGAAAGGACATCAATCTCGGCAGCCTCATTCTTGACGGCGAACTCCAAGGCCTCAATGGCGCTAGCACCGCCTCCCACAATGAGCACCTTTTTGCCTTTGGCATTTGTGCCATCCAACTCGGAGGAGTGGTAGATTTGGCCCTTGAACTTTTCTTGGCCGGGCAGCGGTGGCATCTTAGGATCTCCACAAACGCCTACCGTGGCCAAGATGCCGTCGAAGCGGCCATACTGCTCTTCGTCATCGTTGATGATCCACTGGCCATTCTCGGTCTTTTTCACGGACGTGACTTTAGTCTCGAAGGTAGTACGTCTTTCCAGATCATATCTCTTCCAGACATCAACGATTTGCTGTTTGATCTGTTGCTGGGTGGGATATGCGCTGTCGAACTGGACCGAGGGATGGAAGCGGTACATGACGCTGTGGACCTGTAATGCAGAGGTGGAATTGACTCTCTGTAAAGCTATTAGCAGGTGCTTTAACTAGGAATAAATAGAAATCAAGAAAAACTCACACTCCAGATGCCTCCCAATCCTTGTTCTTTGGGTCTAGATTCAAACAATTGAACATCGAAGCCATTGCCAACACAGTGGGCAGCCGAGGACACACCAGTTAGGCCTGCACCAATGACCGCGACTCTCTTTCGAGGAAGATTTGGATTCAGAGCTGCAGGGGGCGGGGGTATAGGAGAAAATATGTAAACCAACACAGCCTGTATAACCATGTAGAGCCAGGTAAAGGTCTCTACGAATGGATGCCGGATAAAGGCCGAGAGCGCCGAGAGAAAAGACTCAGAACCCATATTTCTGCGTGAATGAAAGTTAGGGTCAATTGAGAAGGAAAAGAAGAATCGAAATATTTGTACTTCCAATTCCAGCTCTGTGACGTTATGCTCTCTTTTACATGTGATAGTTAGTACAAGTTATATGACATCATAGGTAGGATCCTGGTTTGGCCGCACGTCGAGCCCTGGAGGTAGACTATACTTAGGTAACTTATGCTATGCTATGCTATGCTATAAGTAGATATTCTCCATAACAGTCTCCACATAAGGAAGTCCCATGTGATATTGGTGTATGTGCCAAGGCAAGCACTATCCAAATTAGGAAGGCTATGACTGAATTTTCAGACAGGAGGCTGGGCCTATGATAAGAATAAAAGGTGAGGAATCATACAGGTCTGGCATCTAAAACCTGCTAATAATCGAAATAAAATAAGTAATAAAATAAATAGTGTTCTTTTTAAAAAATATTTAACTCACGATCACACTATTACTCGTAGGATCTCGTAGTCTGAATCAAGGTTCCGCACCATATAGAAACTGTCTCTTCAATTTCGACATCTAGGGGAGATCACTAAAAGTCACTTCTGCCAGAATTTTACCCATATTAAGCTCGACTTCTCCTTCTTGGGCATAACCCTTGGAACGAAGGATCTTGGAGCGAGCAGCTCTCTCAGGGGTTTGGGCCATCTGAATGCAGAGTCTCATGGAAGAAAAGAAGTCCACGTCAGTAGGTAGACCGCTACGAGCATTAACAACGCGTTTGGCCTCCACAAGAGGGCGAGCGTCAAACCCAGCGACCCGATGGGCAAAGTGGTCCACGAAGCCTTCATAGTCCGCATCGGGTATTGCGCGGTTTATCCATCCATAAAGCTCAGCTGTAGACGCATCAAAATCATCAGATCCTGAAGAATCTCCAATGCTCTGGAGCGACCGACATTTCGAGGGAGCCATTCGAAGGCACCACCACCAGGAGTGACACCCGCACCGACCTCCGGCTGGCCAAAAATAGCGCGCTCTCGACTTGCAAAACGGATGTCGCAAGCACTAGTGACTTCACTGCCGTGACCGCGAACTCATCCCCTAATAGCGGCGATGGTCACGATGGGGAGGTTGACAATTCGCAGAGCGAATTCGCCCCAGGTGGATATAACGCCAGTACCGGGGCCTTCAGGTTCTTCCATGGCTCGAGCCATATCATAACGGGCAATGAAGAAGTCGGGGCTCGAGGAATCGAAAACAACGACGCGGACTTCTTTGGAATTCTCGAGGTCATTGACGAGCTGTTTGAGGGCGATGTATGTCTCAGGTCCAAAGAGATTAAGAGGACCATTATTAAAGGTTGCTCTCCAGTAAGCCGGTCTAACCTTCTTGACAATGAGGTACTCCGGGTAAAGGTTGTGTGAAGACATGACTTGGGAATGAATCTGATAAAGACAGCACAAATCCGTACGGTTTTCCTTGGTATGGGTATGGAAACTTTCAATGAGTTTTCGAAGAACTTATATGCGGTGCAATGCACTTTATAACAATTTTCTCATTATGTGGGATTATGGCAGCATATTTGTCAGGTTCACTCTACCAGTTCACATTATCTCCATAACCATTAGGGCAGATGTATTTGTCATTATGTAGGACTCGCAAAGTTTGATAAATTCTTGAAATTAGTATATGGAGTGTATGGAGTGTAGAGTGCTATTGCGGGTCTATAATACCACAAAACGCCGTATATTGCCGCTCTATAACCCCGTTTATAGTACAAGTCCGCCTACTTACGTTGCGGCATTTTGCGGTCTTTGCGGCATATACTCCTCTCTAGACCTTGCTACAACAGGTGCATGGGGCTTAGCTTCGCTAAGCCTGCAGGGTTCATTGATGTAGATCGCAGCCCCGCATGGACTGTGTGGCCCATCCTCGCATTCTGTGTAGACGTGCGAGTGACACACTGGTAGCTCAGGGAAAGATAGATATGATGTATTATTCTATGTACAGCAGCGGGGTTATGGTAGCTACATGGGTCACGTGGGCGGTACGCCCGAGGGTAACATCGAGGCACATATTATCAAACCTGTTTAGTACTTTAGTCTTGACAGACAACACTAATATACCTTTCAACCAACTGCAGCTGGCACTTGATGATTGGAGTATCTGGGTTGAGGTATCTGGGGCCGACAAGAAGCTAAATTTGAGAGCAAGTTGCCATTGTACCTAGAATGAACAGGATCTTCGGGTTCTCTTCGTCAAAGAAGTATGTCTGTCCTCCAATCTAATCAATCTTTTTTACATTATCCGTAGAACCGATATCCGATACAGGACACATTCGGGTTACAAAGCCTCGGAGTAGAACAAGTAATCTTGTTCAATCAGATTGTGATTTCTGTTGCCGCTATGTTCAATAAATATCTGACTCGCAGATCTTGAAACTCAAAGGAGACTGCAGGGTTGTCTGAGGAAGTTGCCAAAGTTGAGAAAGACAGTTTTACTTCGGTGAGGTCCTGCCCACCAACTCCAGATAATGGTCTACCACATCTTTAACAGCTTGCTCGTAAGTCTTTAGCTTGAAGCCCAACATCTTCTCAGCATAACTCGAATCAGCCCTAAGTCTAACCGTCCCCGTTCCAGCATCAACCTTGAACAAACCGTCCTCCACTTCCTTGGCATAGTGTTCCCTGGCAATTTCCAAGGCACGATCCCAGGTGACCCCATCCGGGCTCTCGGCAGAAATCAAGAAGAAGTGATTCCCTTTGATGGAAGGACTAAGCGATTCAACGTGAACCCTGGCAACATCGTCAAGATGCGACATCAATGAAGCTACCGGGTACGGTATGGGTTTGCCCAAAAGCTGTCCCATCGCGAAGCCATTGGTCCCCTTACAGATACCGTCGGCCTGAGTAACAGTATCATCTCTACCGACAATGTATCCGGGTCCGATGTTGATCACGTCAAAGGAGGGTTTTCGCTCTTTGATGAATGTTTCCGTTGCTTCCAGGCTAAGCGCCTTACTGGCCATGTATGCCTCCAAGACATTGCTGTATGGCCCTTCGGGATGAGGTGCGCGGCTCTTTTCTTGGGTAATGTCAGCTTGTCTTCATCAAAATAATCTACACGAGGAAGGTGTGTACCATTGAACGGTTCGGTGGGACCGGTGCCACGAATAAGATCACTTGGGGGCTTGATAGCTGCACTTGAAGACGTGATAACAATCTTTTTGATGCCAGACGTCTTGTACGCCGACTCGAGCATACCAATCGTGCCCAACATCGCAGGCTTGATGAGGTCATTCTCGAAGTCGGTTAGGTGTGGCAGAGCTAGGGGCGATGCGACATGAATAATGTACTCAACGCCGCTTACCGCGTCGTCGTAGGCCCCTGGGAGAGTCATATCCGGGACAAGGAAAGATTCAAACCAGTCGACATAAGGGGCCACTGGTGCCAGCAACTTGATTCGTTCGAAACCTTCCTGGTTACGGACAACGACTCGAACACGGTATCCAGCTTCCAAGGCGAGCACTAGGACACGGAATCCAACCATCCCCGTCGCACCGGTGAGCTAAACCTGTCAGTGCCGAGATACAAAAGAAATGAGATAAGTAGTGTCTAACTTACTAGGATCTGCGGCTTCGACATTTTGTTTTGAATATGGGACTTCTCCTTCTCGATGTTTTTGTAGTTTCCGTGTGAAGATTTCTTCTTGGAATTTAGGTCAGATAGAGGAAGGTCTGCATTTTATACCTCTACGGCCTCTTTCTCATCTTTGTAATCTGACGAAAACGGATTATTAACCACAAATTCCAAATCTCAATTTCATTTCAAACACAGGGGCATTGCATCACTGGCCAATCTGTCTTGGCCAATGATCATTGTCGATAGCTAGCTTTTGATATTGACCCTGTGATCCATAATCCGGCTAGAAAACAGGAGAATTCTCGGCGGATTGTAAATACTCCGCAAGTCTGGGTTTGACCAAGGGTTCGATTGCAAATCACAAATTAACCATATTTGGCGCGATTGGGGGGTTGCGGTTGGGCTTTGCCTACCCATGCACCTGTTATGGCGAGGTTTACGGAGTGGAGAGGAGTATATGCCGCAAAGACCGCAAAATGCCGCAACGTAAGTAGGCGGACTTTTACTATAAACGGGGTTATAGAGCGGCAATATACGGTGTTTTGCGGTATTATAGACCCACAATAGCACTTTACACTCTATTTACTAATTTCAAGAATTTATCAAACTTGAGTTCTACTTCAAAAAAACTCTTTGAACATGCCCATCCCCAACCTTGGCACCTTGGAAGCCAACATTAATTAGTCAGCATCCATCTACCCCCAAAGTTCCGCACCAAAAACTCCGCTCGCACATAGCGAATGTCCGCACCTCCGCTACCTCAGCGAACTCAAGCCAGAGCTGAAATATCATGGAGTTAGACCACCGTGAAAACGCTGGTGATAGGCTCTCATTGTATGCTTGTCTACCCTGCCGCCAAGCTAAAAGGCGCTGCGACCGCACATATCCTCAATGTACTCTTTGTTCTCAGTAAGCCACAGGCGTCTGCCGTCCATCTAATTTCATAGATGTATAGTGATACCAACGAATAATACTAGGAAGAGGATTAGGTGTGATTACCCAAGTGGCCGAAAAACGAGACAAGTTCGTCGTAATCGAAAGAGAAACTCTGATGTGTCTTCAAAATCGCCTATCGATAGCTCGATCACCGACCCCGCTTCCATCCCCATATCAGAGATAAGAAGAGAGGATGAACAGCGCATTATATCCGAGTCGGCCGAAAGTACTGTTTTGGCGGAAAGATTCCTTGATCCAGAAGTCTTCCATCGCGCGCAATTAGAAGTTCAAAGCCTGGATCCAGCATTCGCAATTACCAACGAAGTGTCTGACTTGGTCGGCGGCTTATTGGAGATTAAAGCCACTGCGAAGAAATTCTTTGAGACAGTTCATACTTGGATGCCTATCGTATCTAAGAACCAGTTCACGGCCAAATTGCCTAATCGTCTGGCTCATAGAAGAGCTGAGTTATACCTACTAGTATTGGCGATGAAGTTGTGTCACGCCAATGTGTCAGCAGATAAAAGGGGACTATACCGGGCAGTAAAACAGCTTTACTTCGAAGTTGAATTGTCTGGGATACTTTCTATCCTTGTCCTTCAATCGGGGATCCTCATTGCAATCTACGAGCTAGGACAGGGTATATATCCGGCTGCCTTTTTGTCCGTCGGATGCTGCGCTCGTTATGCCACTGCACTTGGGTTTAACAATAGCATAATCTCGCCAAGCTCCATGGTACGGCCATGGGATGAAGAAGAAGAACGTCGTCGAGTTTGGTGGTCAATACTGGTGCTAGATAGGTAGGTATGCTATCTCTTTCATATCCATGGATTGCTTAAGACCGCGAAGAATGCTCCCTACCTATGAATCTTCTTGCTCTTAAGCGACTTGGAAATTACTGACTCTTGTGGCAGATATCTGAATCTATGCGATCCTCAACGGCATCTTATAACCCCAGATCCAGGATGTGATAATTACCTGCCGGTAGACGATACCGTATGGGATGCTGGAGTAAGTTATCCAAGCATAAAAACACAATCAGTCCCTCACCATCGAGATTACAGACATCTCGACCCGAAGATGCATTCACACTTGTCACGGCTAATAGTTACGAACTGGGTCTATTTGCTCGGTTTGCACAAGCCGCACATTTGCTAAGTAAAGTTCTGCGTCATGCAGCTGAACAGTCGACCGAGACCGGACAGTTGAGACGAACCATATTTGCTCTTGTCCACGTTTCTAGAGTTGAAGCATCGATGAGACAGTTAGAATACTGCAGTCAAATGGCAGTGTGCTACAGGTAGGGCATGTCTCTAAACCACACTTGGAATCTACTAATCAATTTAAGTGCGATACTCCTCCTCGACCATCCACATCCGTCCTTAGGGGTTAGTAGTAATCAGCTATCGGTGGAAAGTTCTCACATCTCGGACGCTACGCTGAAAATGTGCCTGAAGTTCTCAAGAGCACCAGCGTCGCGAGACCTAGATTGTATCTCCCCTTTTCTTCTTCACTTGATATATAAGGTGGCATCTATCCATTTGGGAGCCTGTCATACCAGTCCGAGCACTGCTACCACCGACAACCTTTTGATACTTAAAGAGACCTTGAAGATCCTCAGTCATCGATGGCTAAGTGCGAGTAAGTTCATGCAGACTCTCGATGTCTTTCAGATTAGGGACTAAACGGAGATATAGATGCATACCTCTCGCTTTTAGAGAGACAAGAGATTTTGTTAGCTTTGCTGTAGATATATGCGGTCAATTAAGATGAAATTAAAATGTGCTGTACTCCATATAGAATCAAATCGCATGGCGTTTTGCTATATAACCAACCATGTGAGGCGGTATCTCAAAGTTCACGTTGAGGTGGCTCAACCTGTTAGCGTAGATTGGCCATCCAATAGTTACAAAGGGAGAAACGGAGGCCATCGTATAACACCTCGAGACAATCTTCATAAACCAGACGCAGTGCATCAAGATTGCAGTTCTCCTTGATACAGCTTGAGAACCTCCTCGCCTAGGTTCAACTCAACTGTTATGTCCGTCTCATTCTGTGTCAGCTTGGTGAACTCCATAGCAAGCCGTTGCATTTCAGGAAACCCTGAAAGCCTCTCGTACTCATGGGCATCAAACGCCAGCTCCTCTCTTGTTGGCCTCGTAATCGAATTTACGGACGTTTTGATGCTCGCGATAGCTTCGCTAGGGAAGAGGGAAATCCTCGACGAGAGCTCTCTTACAAAGTTGCCAAGTTCGCTCGAAGACTTGAACGCCCCATTAATCCAGCCATACTTTTCGGCTCTGTAATAGTCGATGTCCTTTCCCGAAAGGAGATACTCGAACGCTCGTCCGCGACCTATCAGTTGCGGCATATAAAGTGCCCCTCCCGTGCCAGGATGAGAACTGAGAGACATTGCAAAGTTTCCGAAAACAGCTTTTCTGGAAGCAAAGCGCATGTCACATGAGAAAATGAACTCGTTGGCTAGACCACGAGCTGGGCCTTCGATCACGGCAATAGTAGCTTGCGGCAGCTCGGTGATGTTGAAGAATACGTTGCTTGCGAAGAGAGCGAGATTGGAATCCGAGAAAGGGATCGGGTCTCCTCTACGGGAAATTTAGCAATTGCAGCCTTGCCGGACTTCTTATTGGCAACTTGCCTCGTCACGGAATCAAGTCAAAATGTGCGGAAAAGAAAGTCGGGTTCCCACTGTTGAACACCACCACCTTCACTGAAGTGTCATCCTGCAGCGATGTAACCAGCTGGTTGAGCTCAACGATAACAATTTCGCTCATTAGGTTCACATTGCTAGCCTTGTTATTGATGGTCGCAGTCAAAATGGGTCCATCATAAGATAACTGAATGGTGTTAGTAGTCGGCTGTTCTGTGGTTTATATGGGCAAGAACAGCGGCAGGGAGAAAGAAGCGGAAATTGATGTGAGTTTCATCTTTACTAGTTGACCGAGAACAAATTTCACTTGATAAACAAAGATATAAGAGGGACTATTGCCTTGAATTGGCGACACTTCCTGTGACCTTATATACTATTACTTCTTGATACGATAGCAGGTAGAAATAGCCATCTAGTCCGTAGGTATCAAAGGATTTCAGCCCTGGAGCGAGTGTTTGTCAGCAAGTTCAGATTAACTAGGTAGTTAGTTAACTAGTAATTACGGCCGCAAAGACCGCAAAATGCCGCAACGGGGAATTTTATTGTGAGCGGGGTTATAGAACGGCAATATGCGGAATTATAGACCCTCTATTTGTAAAATTACCTAAATGGAGAGATATAGGACCACATGATCCATTTATAAGACATATAACACATTAGCCTAGTAAGAAACTTACAATCGCGGCGATTGAGATCCTGTCAGATGGATGAACGGCAAAGGAACGGAGCGAGGCCGTATGCCTCGGGATTCCAAACCCACTGAGGTGCCGTCGACTGCACCTCACACTTTAATCCAATCAGGCAGTTAGGTTTAGTGAGTGAACTAATTTAACCTCCTTTCTGCCTCTTTCTCCGTCGTGGTGATAGCGGTGCCGCGTAATTAAAGCTAGGAATGAAATATCGGACATGGACTTGTATACAAAGGGCGGTCACGGGTTCTGCCATCAATGCCGTCAACAGACGAGCCTCTTGACTCTGTGACCCGCCAGTTGCGTTTCTTTGAACGTTGAGAATGCCAAACGACACAATGATCGTTCAATCAAATTAATTCTTCTGGTGCGACTCTACCAGTTAACCGAGTATCTCGCTCTTTCGACATGAGTCAAACACCTGTCCTCGACCAATTCCTCGGCAGTTTGCAGGAATTGGTCCAGAAGCGCGATGGCGCCAAAGTTCAGGACTTTCTTCAGCTCGAGCCGCCCCTCTCGGACATTTACCAGCGCATGATCAGTGAACTACGACAGAATTATGGCCCGGGCCCCAAAAGTGACGGCGAACTTCTTCGACGATGCGAGCCTCTCGTACCGCGATCCAAAAGTAGCTCATGGACGGCGTTCCCGACTTTCGTCAAGCTCTACCTGATCTTCCTACGCGATATGAACACAGATAACCTATTGGAAACATACAACCAATTGAAGGCGCTGCTCAAGTAAGTTTTGCTGCCCTCGTGAAGAATTCTGAATGCGCTCTGTCCCCGGTCGAGGATTCTACTCATGTCTTTGGGCTTGAAAGCTGACTCGACCTTATTGTTAACTGCAGTCAATGCGTGCTCGCACTCGGAGATAGTCAAATGGGTGTCGTCGTCCTTCCTACGGTTCTCTATTTGTCCAAAGTGCTGGCAAAATTGGCAATGGGCCTTGATCGTCGACCGGACCTGATCGCGCATATTCGACGAATGGAGGGTCTGGCGGCTCACGACGAGAGCATCGAGAAGGTAACTTTGGTGGAAAAATCGGCCAACGTGGTGCGCGAAGCGTTCATTAAGTGCCTCACCGATCGCACCGGCACTCCCGGCCCTACTGGTAAGCCGGAGGGCAAGCGCATCGGTATCTATCTCATGGCTAATCTCTGCCTCAAATTGCTCTTCCAGGTACGGAGGCCTATCATCGAATATCTCACCTTCCCTTCGAAGCTTGATGCTGACGGAACACAGTGCGGCAAACTACGCAACGCCGAGCAAATGTTTGCAAGCATCAGCGCCCAATCACCCCCCTTGGCCTACTTCCCAGCCTCACAGCGTGTCACCTACCTCTATTATCTCGGGCGCTACCTTTTCGCCAACAACCTCTTCTTTCCCGCCCGCATCGCTTTGCAGGCCGCCTATGACCAATGTCACCGCCAGGCCATAAGCCAACGACACTTAATCCTCTCATACCTCATTCCGTGCAACATTATCTTGGGACGATTCCCATCTCAGGCACTCCTTCGACGACCAGAAGCACAAGGATTAGCGGAACACTTCCAGCCACTGTGTCGATTGATTGTCCGAGGAGATTACCTGGCTTTCCGACAACATCTCTTCTTTGGCTCCCCGACTGCTCAGTGGTTTGCACATAAAGGAATTCTGTTTACCCTCCGAAATCGATGCGAGATTCTCGTATGGCGATCTTTTGCACGCAAGGTTTTCATGTATGGAGGTTCGTATGGAGGTCCGCAGGCGCAGGCGCACAAGGGACCTCCACCAATCCTCAATCTTAAAAAGCTCGTTGTGGCGACACGATGGCTCCAAGCGCAGCACGCAGCATCCGGAAATGACCCGGCGAATGCTATGGCGTCCTCCAATTTTTATGGATCACAAGTCGTTTCCGAACCTACCGATCTCGACTACGCTCGCCTAGAAGGGGCAGATGGAAGGGCTAGCCCCGCCACTGATCAAGAGATACTAGAAAAATATGGTGATTTTTTAGCTCCGGATGGATTTTACACCGAAGGAGGGCGATCACAGCCCAATCCTCCGGGTCAACTGATCGACGGAGACCCGGAAGAGAATTATGGCGAGTACGAACTGGATCCATATGCGTATGACCCCGACGACAGGACAGAGGCAGACGTATCCATGATGCAAGAGATCGAATCGATTTTCGCATCGTTGATTACACAAGGGCTGATGGGCGGCTACCTTCTCCATCGTGAGCCTCGATTTGCCGTTCCTGGTGCCAGAATCAAAGGCATCTTGCCCACAGGATTCCCCAACGTCTGGCAGACCATCTCTGGACGCGAGAGTCATGATTCCAGTGTTCCCGGTTGGGTACAGCCTCGGGCGCCTACAGTAGTTGGAGCAGCTGGAGGTGGTAGGGTGGTCAATCTCGCTGGAGCACGCCCAGTCGGCGTCCAATAAGCTCGGTTTTTCTATTTTGTTTCTATTTTCCTTTCTTTTTATGTTGATGATACCGATATTGTAGTTCTGAATTTGATTTCGTACAAACATATGAATAGTAAATGTAGTCATCTCACACTCGTCCGGCTTTAAATGCGGAGACCTCGGGCATTCTCCTCATTCTCCTCATTCCATTCTCATTCCATTCTCATCTTTCCCTTGTCTTCTTTTTGATTATTATTTACCATGGATCATACTGCCGCTGTACAAGAAATCTCAGCACGGGTAGCGGACTTCCACAGTCGCCAGCAACCATTCCGTATATATCATGGTGCTACCAACAGTACTCGGCCCTCCAACCGATCTCTCTCCAACACGGTCAGCACAGAACCTCTCACCCGCGTCCTCGAGATCGATGTCGCTCGACGTACAGCTATAGTCGAGCCCAATGTCTCTATGGATGCTCTAGTGGCTGCCACCAAGGCCCATGATTTGGTCCCTTTAGTCGTTGTCGAATTCCCCAACATCTCGGTTGGCGGCGGGTTCTCGGGGACATCCGGGGAGAGTAGTTCTTTCCGCGAGGGATTCTTCGACCATACAGTCAATTGGATTGAAATGGTCCTGGCAGATGGTCAGGTGGTGATGGCATACAATGACCGCGTCGAGATGGGATCGGAACTGGCGGATCGACGCTCGGACTTGTTCTGGGGCACCGCATCTTCCTTCGGGACCTTGGGAGTGGTCACCTTGTTGGAAATTCGATTGAAAAAGTCACTGCCACTGGTGGAACTGAAATACTATGTCAATTCCAATATGGAGGACGCGGTGCGTGCCTTTGAAGAGGCTAGTGCTGATCTAAACACTGAATATCTGGACGGAATCGTCTATGCAAGGGACAAGATCGTCGTTTGTGCCGGAAGACAAGTTGAACAGACTTCTAATGTAAAGCCTCGGCGCTTTACTCGGCGACAAGACGATTGGTTCTATTTGCACGTCGAACGGATTGCTCAATCCAAGATTTCCGACCGAGAGAATTCTCCTCGCATGCCAGACGCAGTGGACTACATTCCTCTCACTGACTACCTTTTCCGCTATGATAGAGGTGGTTTCTGGGTTGCGCGTTATGCTTTTAGCTATTTCTGTGTTCCATTCACCTTTCTTACACGCTGGCTGCTCAATCGATTCATGCACACCAAGGTGATGTATCACGCCCTACACGTCAGCGGGCTTGCGCGTCGATATATTATCCAAGACGTCGGTGTACCAACATCCACTGCTGCCGAGTTCCTGGACTGGCTGGACCGCCCTGAAAACTTTGGCCAATATCCGCTTTGGCTCTGTCCGCTACCACCAGGAAGTGCCGGTGGGTTGGAAGGAAAGCCGGCAGATGACGACAAAGGAGTCAACGTGGATGCACAGAGGACACGACTCCTCAATTTTGGAATCTGGGGGCCTGCCGCCACCACGGATGAGGTCGGTTTCGTGGCTCAAAATCGACGGCTAGAACACAAGGTCCACAGTCTTGGAGGAAAGAAATGGCTATATGCACATACTTACTATACAGAGGACGAGTTCTGGTCCATATATAATAAGCCCGGTTATGACTCTTTACGGGAAAAATACCATGCACAGCATCTTCCGTCTTTGTATGAAAAGGTCCGAGTGCATGAATCTGATCTCCCTGGTCCACATCGGGGGGAGTTCGAGAGTGGGTGGAAAGGATCGGTCAAACGTGCCCTGTGGGACGTCTGGCCATTTTGTGGTCTTTACGGGGTTTACAAGGCTTGGAGGGGAGGAGACTATCTGTTACAAAAGGAGGTTCCCAAGAAGAAGGCCGATTGAATAGAATATATCGAAATCATTCAGGGTATCGATGCATTCCGTCCAGCCGGAAGCGCCAGGCCATCCAGCGCATATGCATGATGCAATAGGGAACAGCAAATATGACGAAGACAAGAAACCCTCGAAAACAAAAGGAACCCCAAAAGAGGAACCAGAAAATCCGAGATAGACGGAATGGAAGTGGA